TGGCGCGAGGCGCCGTCGGTGCCCCCTGCGCAGAGCCCCGGGCCGGGGGCGGCCGGGCGCCTCCGAGGTGACGTAATTTGTGAGCGGCGCCTATAGCCTGCGGGATGCCCCGTGAATGAGAAAAGGGGGCCGGCGGGCAGGCCAGGGAGCTGCGTGGTCGGTCCTGTACACGGTGATGCCGCAGCATCAGGTACAAGAGCAGTGTGAAACTCACGTTTAAAACTTAACGTTTTTATGTCTATGTAGCGTGGCTAACTTGGCACAGTACGCCTCGCCTGTTTTGTAGCGATGTTCGTTAATACAGTAGGGCCGTGCACAAATTTTGCATTCCAAACCTGTGACTGTTAAATGAATTTTAAATTAAAGGGAAAAGTTACGATTTTCTTTCTTTTCTTTTTGTCATGATTTATACACTCTTAAAAAGCCATCTGGCTTTATGTGTTACCAGGCAGTTATGTTGCTTGTATGTACGTACATATATATAATAAGTACACATATGTATACATCTCTACATTAATACAGCACACACATATATGCACACATATATTTGTATATACATATGTGTATGTATATATGAATATATATACATGTGTGTATATACATATACACATATACATATACATGCATACACACACACACACATATATATATGTACAGTGTTATATCGCAAAAGCTTATGGTGGTGACAGTTGTGTGGAAAAGGCTGAACAGCATTTGTGCATACTGAGATAAACTTGTGGCACATCTCCCATCTTGCTTCTTCTACCTGTGTGTATACAGGCATGACTTTCAGTTTCAGAATAGCGGTTATGTCTTTTTCTAGTGAGAGATAACGCCTCACTCATCGTAAGCTTCATATAAAACTATTCGAAAAACAGATCAGGAGCGATGTTCTCTATTTCTCCCTCAAGCAAAACTGCTCTTCGAGCTCAAGGCAGGCCATATCTGACTCTGAAATGAAATTGGTCTTCCAATTAATGAAAGAGGACAGAAAGAAAAAGTCTGACTGCAAAGAAGAGGCAGATGCTGGTATGGAATGGTGAATGTCATCCTTGCACCTGTAACGTAATAAAAGCGTTGGAGCTGTGCTTAGAACATATTAAGTGCTATAAAAGTACCAAGTATTCAAAAAAATGTGGTCTCTGTGTCTTAGTTATGCCCTCCTGAGATTTTTTAACTGCATTTTTTCCTCTTTTCTTTCGTTGCTTTTCTGTACAATATGACAAATTATTTGCATAACAGTATTATGTAAGTGAAACCATTAACAATGAGGAACTCTGGCATAGAGCTACAAATTTTAAATGAGCTACTATGAAAAAATTCCAGTTTTGGAGATTTTTCTATACTTAGAAATGCCAGTACCTTCACTTTCACACAGCCTCAGCAGAACAAAAGATGAATTCTTCTTAAAAAGATGAATAAGACAAATTCTTATGGAAAGTCAACTTTAATATATACCTGTATGTTTAAGACTTAGCTCTATGTGCTTATTTTGGATCCAGCTGCATATACTAAACATTTGCTAGCATTATTTGGATAATAAAGATAACATTTATTGAATGCAATAAATGTTCTTGTAGCTGTTTCAGTTCTTTTAAAATTATAACTCTCAGTCTTGTAGTTTTCAGTTTTCCGGTCACTGTCCTGGAAATTTCTCGTGTCATTCTACCTGCCGATAAAAAGAGGAATTTATTGCATTGACATTAATTTCTTTAGGTCTGTATGGGCTTTTCCTATCAGTTCTCCAAATCTCATTCTCCACATCCAGGATCAAGGTTCCGTAATAGTCTTTATTTGATTCATCCATGTTACAGAACATGGGTTTGCTGATAGAATTTATCTCTCTGGCTACTGAGCTCAGAAGATAACTGAGAGCACCTTTTTACAATTCACCTGATACATAACCAGTTAGAACCGAACACTCGGGCACTGCTACTGTCTATAGAGTCTGTACTTTTAGTGCGCTGCTGATTATTTCTTGCATGAGTATTTGAAGTTTGTGATTGGTGTATACTGGTTCAGGCTACAAAGTTTGGGAGCTCTTGTTTCTTTTCTTTTTTCTGCACCATCTGATGCACAATTTAAAACATCACTACTAGAATTACTAGTGCAACATACATTCTGCTGCTTTTTTCAAAGGATTTAAAAAGGCCACCCTCAATAACAACCCTGATAATCCTTAGTACTACAAAAGAACCTGCCAAAACCTCACAGTGCGGAACAGCCTCACAGCTGGTGTACCTGACAGCTGTTTCAAATGCAAACATTCTAATAATGCAGAAATTGATAGCAGATGATTTCTCATTGTGTAGCTACTTGGGACTAAAATCAGACATTATTATTGATGTGGATCTTCCTCCTCCTTTTTCACACCTTTCTTGCTCCAGTTGAAGTCTATCTTCATTTTTCTGCTCATCAGCCTCCTTGTCTTGCTTAACAGTATAGTAAGTTCCGGCTCTCACCCATATTTGCCAAACATCAGTTTGTTTTTTGTTTTATTTTGGTTTGGTTTTTTTACTTGCATTGGCTTCAAGGGGAGCACTTCCCTACATCTTGCTCCTCACATGCAGTATGTACATTTTACACACAGGAGGCAATTGCAGAATGGCTGAAGCTGGGAAAAAGTCCCAGAATAACTTCCTTTAGCACAGAAGGTATCAGGAAAAGCACTGAAAGCCATCTCTAAAATGAATACTTGATTTGTGTGTAGCCTAGCTCCAGGTACTTGGATGTCAGCCTATACTAAACCTTCCTGTTAAAGTTACAGTATAGATGGTAAAGATAGCAATCACTGAATGAAGTAAATAGCAGTATTCCTGTAAGAACCCATTTTTGCTCTGAATAATAGAGCTTCCTTCCATATACTTTCTGTCTTCAGCCATCCTCCTTTTTGCCCAAACATTTATTCTGACTTCGGTTTGTTTTGGTTGCTCAACTGACTTGTTACCTTCTTTCATGATTGCTGGCATTAAATACATTCCAAAAGTTATCTGAATTTCTTTTCCGTTTTTATCTATACCTCACATCCTGTCTGGCATGGGACTGGTTTATGTATAGCTGTATATTTCTATTCAAACATGGTTGCCACTCTGTGTTCAGCATTTCAGTCTTTCCGTCTTCCAAAATGATGTTATTTTTGGCTTACCAGAATATTTTAATTGGTTAAATTTCATCTATTTCAGACCAAAATGCTGAACCCGCGATTTTTTAAGGGCTTTGATGTTGGGAAAGCAATGTTCTTGTGAGAAGAATTAGAATTGGTAAATGTTTAAAGAGAATCACTCTGTGAACCTTAACTACTGCAATAATGTTCTACTAACAACATAGCAGCTAATGTTTAGACATGTAACAGCATTTTAGTGGTGTTTACATAATATCATTCTTATCTGAATCATAGCTACTAGTCTGAGTAACAGTCTATGCCCTTTCAGTATTATCCTTATATAATTTCCATCTGCGGTAATATTATTTACAGTAAAAACTCACAGTGATTCTGTATCTTAATGTTAGCTAGGTATTACTTTGACGAACTTAATTAGACTGTGAGCTGATAAGAAATCTTGAACTCATTCCTTTCATCTTCTCATAATTTTTTCATGCAGAGGAGAAAGGAAGTCCTTGTGCAACCAGTGGACATTCCAGAAGGAAAAGAATTAGTAGTTTTAACAGATTCTCATTCCCAGAGAGAAATAATATCTCTGGATCTAGTGGATTAACTAACTCACAGTAGCTGTTCAGTTGGGGATTGGTGAAGCATTAGCTGTGAAGAACCCTTGTACCAGTTCTGTGATTAAGGGCGGGAAACTATGTAGCGTAGAAGTCCCATACAGTAACATGGATGACTTTCTCGCAGGTCATACTCAAGAAACAAAAGGGGGAAAAACGCTTCATAGTAGTTTAGGTTGTCACTGATAAGTTTGCAGCTGACTTACACATACCTGTAGCATCCTTTCTTTTTAAGATATTTCAAGGGTAAAGAAAGGCTAATATTGCCACCTTTCTATTTCACTCCAGACTTTAAGACATTCCTGGAAAGAGCACTTAAGTGTTCTCTCTGTGATCTGTGAAGTCATCCTTTGCGTTAAGCGAGGTTTAGTTTTGCCACCCTGACATTTCTTCATCAAGTGCTGCACTTTCAATCAAATTGATGTTTTCTCAGTTATTTCAGTCGTTGTTCTAACGGACTTACAGTAGGAAGAAAATATTTCATTCCAGCTGTTTTGCTTCTGATAATTCATTTTTTACAGTTGTGTTCCTCCTGTCAGCTTTGCCAAATCTCTCTGGATAGTAGGTGATGTGAAACTTTCAATATGCTGCCAAAAAGTTGAGTATAAATTGCATACTAACTGTTTTCCTGTTTGTAAAATTAGTATGTTTTCTGGTAGTGGTCTTAATCCACTATCAAATTGCCCCAAAGTGCCCCACAAAAACTAGTAAGTGGTGGAGAGTTCATAGGTGTGGTGTGTTTGAATCCTTTCCAGGACCTCCTAGGTGCCAGTGTCATGAAAATAGCTCTTGTTATCCTGGCAATGTCACAAAAAGTAGAACAGGAATTAGGATGTTCAGGCATTTTTTTTTTAACCTCAGTCAGGTACATATACGTTTTAAGCTTCTTTCCATATAATCTGTAAGTTTTAGTGTGTATGACAAGTCCCTGTCAGAATGATTCCTGCTATTACTTGATGCAACCTCTCTGATAAAAATTCCTCATTCCTCTACTATCTCTTCTCCATTCTACACTATCTCTTCTCCTTAATCTTAACTGGCAGTACTCCCACTTTGTTATTATTCTGCTGAATGGTGTGTAGCTTCTCTGTTTCAGCCTGTTCACTTTCTGCTGATCCTCAGGTAGCCGCTTCTGATAGTAGTGTCTATCTTTCTGAAACTCAGGTGTTTGGTGAGTATACCAATGGCTGTTTATGTGGACAGATGGTGCTCTGAGCTTTCTACCCTACTTACCTTTTCTTCTTATGTATCACTTTATCTTATCACTTTTGTCAAGATTGAAGGTTATCCAGTTATTTCATTATATTCACACGTGTTATATGTTTGTTAGTTGTCACATTCTTACTTCATTCCCACCAGTTTAGAAGGGACATGGCTTCTTAGAAAAGGGACTGAATCAAAAGCTCCTTTATATTTTCATGTCTTTTTCTTTTCTTCTCAGCAAACTGTTAACTGCCTTGCTATCATAGTTTTACCACAAGATATTAAGTTCCTGATTGTTTTATTTTTATGGCTCCTGGAGCTGCTCATCAATAGTCTCTGGGCATAGTTACAACTCCCACACACATATATATATATATACCATCTTGGATTTGTTTTGCTTGTATTTGTTTAAAGTCTGGATGGTGTTTTACATAATGCTTGTTTACATAATACTTATTTTACATAATGATGGCGCTCCAAAGTGACACCAGTAATCTAGAGCTCCTAGAGCTTCACAGCTCCTCTTCTGAGGAACTGTTCAGCCCCTCACTGAATTCCTAGGATGATCTACCTGGACTTTGCTACTGATTGTTTTTTAATCTTATCTCTTCCAGCAAAGTCAGCATCTCCTTTACATATGCTTTAAACTCTTTTACTGGAGTGTAATTGGGATACTATAGCCATCCCCAATGGTATGATCTAAAATTGTTACAGATTCCAGCATTTGTAGCGTGAGGACTTCCATATGCCCTTTAGGAAATCTGTCCAAAGATACTGCACTTTCCAGGTACAGTTTTCAAATGTCTTATGTTTGCATTCTTATCTAATGCTACTCCCCAAACTCATCCAGAAGTGTCAAACATTGGAAGAGACTTTTATGATCGTTTCCAGGTACTCTGTTGCAGCTGGAAGCCATAAGACTTCCTTATTGGTCAGGTGGAGTAGTTATGCACTGTGGATGCCCTGACTATTTGGCTTTCTGAAGCAATGAGTACTGAGGTTGTAGAGGAAGGTTCCTTCCTTCTAGTAAATCCCTAGCATTTACATGACCATAGTCCAGCTTCCTGTGCACCAATATTGAATCATGTTGGTACATAAGATCCATTATATAGCTCTACAACTTTTTTTAACCGAGTGTCTAACCACTGATACAACTCCTTCATTCACGTTGCTGTTACCAGAGATATAATGGTTCCCTTGTTACAAAAACCTTTTATTAAACCCATTAGTTTCACTGCCTGAAATCCCAGAATCTCTTCATCAGCATGCACTGCATTAACAAATATAACTCCTTTCTAATTTGTGCAGTAAAATTCTCAGCAGTTTCTATCCGCTTTGGTATTGTAAAAATGCCCCGAGTCTTACCCATCCTATATACAAGAACTATTTGGGTTATCAAATACTTTGTTTCTTCTCTGTTCATACAGAGGTTTAATACAGGTTTATAAGCCCCCAACACACCTATTTACTGCATATTCCTTTCTTACAAAGCTTTCCAACAAAACTTATCTTACTCTAAACTTAAGGGACCTCGGTTGCCTTATCATAAGGCTCTGCACTGAACAGTTCTGCTTCTCTCACATTTAATTTTTTCATATGTTTCTCCATGAAATATCTGTTCCTTTCACCCAACTCATGTAGATCATGTGGATTTCAGATACATTCCCTGATTTACCTGGGGAAAAATAGGGGGTAGTGGATTGCACTAATGATCCATGATTATACATTTCCCCAGGCCCATAGCCAATCATAACAATCCTCAGATTAATCATTTAGAGAACTTTCTGCAAAATCCACAAGTATCTTCTCTGGCCGTGAGCTTAGACTTGCCATTTCAAGTAGACCCATTCTTCTATTAGGCAAAATTCTTGCCAGTTG